AAAAAAAAAAAAAAAAAAAGACTGGGTCTTCAGTTAAAAGCAATCCAAAGATACCCTGCACATTCAGATACTGCACTAGAATGCAATCATCACTAGGTAATCATCAGTACAGATGATGGCTGGGCCTCCAGGTTAACCAACAGTGATCTAGGTTTCCCTGAGACCAAGGTTAGCTGTGCTAGCTGGTTTCCAAACAAGGTAAAACAAATACCACACTAGGAACACATGGTATCTCAAAGAATGAAACAATGTCAAAACTCTCCCCTCTGATTACAAATGCCATTTTTTACAATGGTACTACACTGTAAAGAAATGTTCTACTAAGTTTGTTAGATGAACTACATGTGCTCTGTTTCAAATCACATGCTAATAAAAGTGATCTAGGCCAGGCGCAGAGGCTCACGCCTGTAATCCCAGCACTTTGGGAGCCCAAGGCAGAGGTATGGCTTGGTGTCAGGGGTTCAAGACCAGCCTGGCCAACATGGCAAAACCCCATTTCTACTAAAGAAAAAAAAAATAGTTTGGCATGGTGGTGCACACCTATAGTCCCAGCTACTTGGGAGGCTGAAGCAGAAGAATCATTTGAACACAGGAGGCAGAGTGAGCCAAGACTGTGCCGCTGCACTCCAGCCTAGGGGGCAGGCCAGAGTCCGTCTCAAAAAAAAAAAAAAAGTAATCTAGTTCTTTGATAGATTTGAGTAATTCTCTAACTGGACTACACTGATTCCCCTTAAGAAATATCTGGAGACTCTATGAAAAATAGAGTTTCTTTTCTTTTCTTTCTTTCTTTCTTTTTTTGAGACAGGGTCTCACTCTATTGCCCAGGCTGGGTGCAGTGGCAGGATTACCACTCACCACAGCTGTGATCTCCTGGGCTGAAGTGATCCTCCCACCTCAGCCTCCCAAGTAGCTGGGATTATAGGTGCAAACCACCAGTCCTGGCTAATTTATTTATTTTTTTGTAGAATGGGCTCTCATTAAGTTGCCCAGGCTGGTCTCAAACTCCTGGGCTCAAGTGATTCTCCCACCTTGGCCTCCTGAAGTATTGGGATTATAGGCATGAGCCAACTCACCATGCCTAAAAAATTGTGTTTTTTAATCCAACTTCCTATGTAAATTGTGTTATTACTTTGTAGGATGCTTACTTTTTCTTGAAGTTGTTTTATTTCCTCCAGGAACCTGTCAGCATCTTGAGAGAAGGGAAAATAACTTATTTTTTTCTAATTGTATAGCTCAGCATTTTAACTAAATGAACAGCAATGCTTCTAAGTGTTGGCCTACTATGCTGAGGTCTTGTCAGTGGCTATCAGAGGCTATGCAAGCCCCCGCTCCAGCTAAGTGCTTCTTCATCTCTCTCCAAGTGGATCCTAGGTTGGTTGAATTTATAGATCTGTTCCTGGCCTTCCCAGAGAGTCAAGGTCTCCAGGAAAAAGCAACGACCTGGCTCATCACCAAATCCGTGCCTTGCTTCTGACATTCTACTTCCATTGCCTGGACCTTTGGCCAGATATTTTGCCCCTTTGATACTGGTGCTTGCTATTGCTTTGTGGCTTACTCCCTCTCTTCAGCTCTGGCAGGATCTCCGTCTCCTGAACGTCACTAGCTTTAGGTTTTGAAATGTTCTTGTAATTCTTGTATTCACTTCTTTTATGGCATCTTTCTGATGCTCTGATATCCTGCTACCATCATTAACCCAGTGTCTCCCCTGGTTTTGTGATAGCCATACTTTCTCTCTCTCTCCCCTCTCTCTCTCTCTCTCTCTCTCATGCATTCCTCAGCCCCTGGGTTCTCAACCTGACTCTCAAACCCGAATTACTTTGTCCTGACTCCAACAATGGTACATAAGCTTATGAACTTCACTGCAAGCAGACAGGTGCATAG